CTCGCCCTCCCTGGATCGTCCGAGACGCCGAGGCGCGTGTTGCGCTCGAGTCTGCTGTCGAGACGCTTGCCAGGTCCACAGACAGCCAGCACCCCATCGGCGAGTTCGACGACTGGGACTGGGCGCTCGGCGGCCGCTCTCAGCCGCTGGGACCACCAGGCTATGGCTTCGAGGACTTCCATGACGGTCTCCCCGAATTGGACGGCTCCAGTGGCTCCGACTCAGAAGATGCTGCTAGCCAAGAGATTGCCCATGCCCGCCAAGAGGCCTGTGACAGAGGCCGGGATAGACCGCACTTCGCAGCTTCGCACTCAGCGGGCAAAGCGCAGACGGCGCGAGCACTTGGACGAAGCAATGCATGCGAGGCAATTCGGCCAATATTTTCTGGAGGTCAACAAGGTGACTCGTCCTTCAGCGATGATGTACGACAGGTGCTTCCAGGAGTTCAAGGACTGGGCCAGCACCAACGGAATGATGTTGAATACGAGCTCGGACATCAGCAGGGCTATGCTGGAGTATCTGGAGGAGCTCTACTTCGCGGGCCACAATCACGACTCGGGCGAGAAGGTTATCGCAGCCCTCGAGTATCGGGTGCCTGGCCTGAGGAGCTCAAAGACACTGGAGAGGGCCAAGCACTCGCTACGGGGCTTTCGCCGTTTGGCGCCCGGCCTGAGCAGGGCCCCTCTGCCGTGGATCGGCTTGTGCGCGCTAGTCGGTGCTGCGCTACACATCAACGAGCTGGAGTTCGCACAGTGCCTCATCTTTCTCTTTCGGACCTACTTGCGGCCGAGCGAGTGTCTGGGTCTCCGGGTACATCAGCTAGTGCCTCCGCTGGCGGGGTCAGGGACTTCTCACTGGGCACTTCTGCTTGCACCAGAGGAGGAGGCGGTGCCCACCAAGACGAAGGAGTTCGACGAGAGCATCCTACTGGACAGCGTAGAGTTGACATACCTGTACCCACGGTTTGCCACCCTGAAGAAACGCAACCCGCAGAACAAGGTGTGGTCATTCGACTATCGCAAGTTCTCCAATCTTTTCAAGAGGGTGTGCGAGGTCGCTGGCCTGGGACAGGCGAAGCTCCACCCGTACATGATGAGGCACGGAGGCGCCAGCGACGATGCTCTCAGACAGACTCGATCGTTGGAGGCCATCAAGCGCCGCGGCCGTTGGGCCGCGGACACGTCGGTGAAGCGGTACGAGAAGCACGCCAGGGTACTCAAGTCACTCGAGGGCCTACCCGTCAGCGCGCGCGACTACGGCAATCTGATAGACAAGAAGCTGAGCCAGTACATGGGCCTCTCAGCCAGAGTCCCAGTTCCTCCAGGGACCACGGCCAAGGTGCTGGTGGCAGCAAAGTAAGGAGGCCTTTTCATGAAGGTCGAGGGGATCACAACGCGGGCTTAGACGTTTATCTACCTGCTCACATGATTCGAGCAAAGTTGCGAAAGGTATTGCGTCAGTTTGTTCAACTCAGTCACGATCACAAAGTGTATCTAGATTTGTTCTCAGGTACTGGGGCTATCGCCGACTGCATGAAATCTCAGGGTGAAAGCTGTATCAGTTTCGACGTACTCAACGGCCCAGAGTATGATCTTTCAAACGCAGTGGTGGTCAACGTACTCATTGGTTGGATCCAGTCGGGTATAGTCAAGGGCGTGTTCGCAGCCTTCCCATGCAGCAGCTGGACTCCGGCGCTCTTTCGCCAGATCAGACGATCCTGGTGCCCTTACGGGATTCCCGACCCGACCCCAGCTGAAGCAGTTCGTCTCAGCTTAGGCAACCGCACGCTCACGGCCACTAGAAGGCTCGCCAGGGCTTGCATCAAGCAAAAGGTACCAATGCTCCTTGAGAACCCTCACGCGTCCAAGGCCTGGCGTGAGCCCATGATGGCGGCCCTGATGGGCCACCCTTCTTGTAGGCAGCTTGTAGTAGACCAGTGCGCGTTTGGGTCGCGTTGGCGCAAACGCACTCGCTTCGTAGGCTGGCACGTCCCGATGCTTGGACAAGAGAATGTTTTGTGTTCTGGCCATGGGTCTTGTAGTTTCAGTTTTAGACCTCACATAATTTTGCGCGGAAAGCTCCCTGGAAGTAGTGTCAATCTGACCGCTCTCGCGGCATCTTACCCCAAGCGATTGTCCAAAGCGATTGTTCTCTGGGTGATTAGGTCTGCAGAGGCTCTTCGTGGGGCTCGTTTGTCTCGCTGCTTAGGTTGAGGTTGCACCTCAGGCGGTTCCAGAGCACAGTATGGGTCTGGGAGTTGCTGTGTCGTTTGAGGCCTGTATAGGCCCGTGCTTGCCGAGGCAAAGGAGCCTCGGTCTGAGCTCGCTCGAGGGATGAAGCTATTCGCCATGCAATTTGATCAGACAGAGATTGAAAAACAGATGTGCATCCACAAGGCTGCGCCTGTTTCCGTCTGGCCCGAGGGGGAGAGATGCTACAGTTCTCGGAACGTCTTTCTCTCTCGGTGCCTGGCCGCAACTGTTTACGCTCAAGTCTTTCCGCCCGCCGTCCCCTCCTTCAGCCTACAAGGTTGGGAGTTGCTGTGTCGTTTGAGGCCTGTATAGGCCCGTGCTTGCCGAGGCAAAGGAGCCTCGGTCTGAGCTCGCTCGAGGGATGAAGCTATTCGCCATGCAATTTGATCAGACAGAGATTGAAAAACAGATGTGCATCCACAAGGCTGCGCCTGTTTCCGTCTGGCCCGAGGGGGAGAGATAGCTCTATAGCCCTATAGCAATAGCCCTATAGCCCTATAGCCCCCTAGCCCTATAGCCCTGATTGGGTTTTCTCCGGTATCATGTATACATATATTTCCCAATCAGAGCTTGCCTCTGTAGGGGTCCTAGCGGATTCATATGGTTAGGTTAGGTTTGCCGCCGATTTTCGCCGCACGCCCGGGTGCTAGGGTGCCCGGGGGTGCCAAGGTGCCCGGGTGCCCGGGTGCCCGGGCTTGCCCAGGGGTGCCCGGGTGCCCGGGGGTGCCCTATAGCCCGATGGCCCTATAGCCCTATAGCTTTATAGCCTTATAGCAATAGCCCTATTGCCCTACAGCCCCCTAGCCCTATAGCCCTGCTCGGGTTTTTTCTCCGGTATCATGTATACACATATTCCCCACTCAGAGCTTGCCTTTGTAGGGGTCCTAGCGGATTCATATGGTTAGGTTGGGTTTGTCGCCGATTTTCGCTGCACGCCCAGGTGCCCGGGTGCCCGGGGGTGCCCGGGGCTCGGGTGCCCGGGCGGTGCCCGGGGGTGCCCGGGTGCCCGGATGCCTGGGCGTGCCGGGGGGTGCCCGGGGGTGCCTTATAGCCCTACAGCCCTAAGCCGTATAGCCCTATAGCACTACAGCCCAATAGCCCTGTAGCCCTACAACTCTATAGCCCTATAGCTCTATAGCGTCATAGCTCAATAACCCTATAGCCCTATAGCCCCCTGGCCCTATAGCCCTGATTGGGTTTTCTCCGGTATCATACATATATTTGTATATATATATATATATGTGTGTGTGTGTGTGTGTGTGTGTGTGTGTGTGTGTGTCCCTGGGCCCCTTCAGCAGAGGTCCCCGTGGAGCCGCTGGGCCCCGTGCAAAGGGCGGGCCCCCTGTGCGCCGCGTCGCCCCTCTCGGGGCTCTCTCTATCGGGGCGTCCCGCCCTGGGCCCATCTAGGGTTAAGTCGGGCCTGTCCCTCTAAAGGGGGAATATTCAAAAATAGCGAAAAATAGTAAGGGGATTATTTTCTGTCTCTTTTATGACCATTCGTGAACATTTGTTTGCGTATTTTTGATTTTTCGTCGAGTTCCCCTCCATGTTCGGGGAAACGTAAGACTCTGGGCCTCCCAGATGGGGTCGGAGCAGATAGTGTCGGAGGATCGTGCCACATCGGCGATGCATCGGTGATCCATCGGCGATGCGGCTCGATGTGGGCCCATTTCTCTCCACGCTGTCGTCGCCGATGAACCGCCGACGTCGCCAGTGCATCGCTGATGCATCGCCGATGCATCGGCGATGCGTCGCCGATGTATCGGCGATACGGCGAGATCCTCCGACCCCGTCTACTCGGTCCCCATCTAGGAGGACTCTAAAGACTCGCGTATGCCGGAACTCGGGTTTGCCGACGTTTTTTTGACGAGCGCGTCCTGGAGTTTGACGGTGCAGTTTTCGTGGGATGTCTGCAGCGGGAGCTCGCGTCAAAGTTCAGACTGGCTCTCGTCATTGTCATGATGGCCCCGTCAGGCCAACTCGAGTCCCCCGAACCTGAGTCTTACGTCTCCACGACAGGTGCTCAGATGAGGAGAAGGCGGATGCGGGCTAGTGGGTCCTTCGCAAAGGGGGTCTCAGAAGTGTCCGCAGTAGTGTGTGCAATCGTTCGTGCCGGATGCGCACGTCGTGCAATGTCAGCACGTGGCTGCCACACGCCATGCGCCATGCGCCATGTGCCACAGGATAAACAATTGAACTTTGTTTGTGCGACCCCATTACGAAAGACCTCCTGTGCCTGGAGCCAGAATTCATCTCCCCATACCGCTACCCTTGCCTCGTTTTCCCTTTTTGGGCATCTTTGGAGGCACTCGATGCCACCGCTGGATTCGCCCCGAAATTCTGATCAGAACGCACCCTGGGAGAGGTCCGGGGACTAGCAGTATCGGTACTTTTTTGGTTTCCCCAGGAGCAGGACCCGTTGCTCTCGGGACCCGCTTCTTTCAGTCGGGGAGGCGTAGAGCTCGAGCTCGCCAGAGGCCGGGTTTGCTGGCGCTTCTCTGACGGGCCCGTCCTGAACATTGACGGTGCACTTTCGTGGCATGTTTGCAACGGGAGCTGGCCGCAAACTTCAGATTGTGTCTCGTGATTTTTCTGGCGGTCCCGCCAGGCCAAATCGAGTCCTCCGGAACTCGAGTCTTACGTCTCTCCGATGCAAACCAGATAGACAGAGCAATCTGGGGCCCAGGATGGGCCTGGCCACGATTGGCGTAGACGTCTAGTTGGCGCCCTCCTGGGGAGCGCCCGGAGGTGTCCTTGCCTGGCTTCGGGGACAAGTCGTTCGAGCTCTCCGTCTTCCTGCTCGCCGTGCTCGTGGTGGGCCTCGTCAAGACCTACCTGCTCTCTGGGGCGCCGAAGAGCGCCGCCAAGAAGGCGCAGCGAGTGCGCGTTGTGACGCTCAACGGCGAAGGCGGCTCGAGGGTCAGAGGAGGGAAAGATACCGATACCGATGCTCGTCCTTGAGAGCCCCTGCCGCCACGGCTGCATTCTCCTCAAAATTCTGGTCAGAATGCACCCCCTGAGAGGTCGGGGAAGTATCGGTATGGGTACCTTTCGGCCCCCCAGAGGAGAGCACGGCCGACGGGGGTGTGAGCAGGGAGCGTGGAGCGTAGAGCTCACGCCAGGTGAAGTTGCTGCTGCGGAGGGAGGCGGAACAGGACGAACACGACAGGAATGATGCTGCTGCTGCAACTGCTGATTATGATGATGCTGATGGTGATGCTGATGATGCTGACGATGATGAGGATGATGATGTTGATGATGATGCTGAGGATGAGCATGATGATGAAAGGTAGTAATGATGAAGATGATACTGATGGTGGCGATGATGATTATGATGGTGAGGATGTGGGTGTTGGTGATGTTGATGATTGTGCTGCTTCTGCTGATGATGATGATTCTGCTGATGATGCTGATACTGATGATGCTGCCTCTGCTGCTGCTGATGATGATGATGCTGATGAAGATTATGATGCTGCTGATTATGATTTTTGTGATGCTGATGATGATGCTGCTGCTGATGCTGCTGATGCTGCTGATGATGATGGTGGTGATGGCGATGACGATTGTGATGGTATCGAGGGTTTTTGCGATAATGATGGTGACGATGATCATGATCAGGATCACGAAGACGATGATGAGGAGGATGACGATGTTGATGATGATGCTGCTGATGCTGATGATGATGGTGATATGATGATAATGATGGTGGTGGTGCTGCTGCTGATGATGACACTGATGATGCTGATGATATTATTAAGCGGATGATGGTTATGATGATGGTGACCTTTCATGGTGCTGCTGATGATGGCGATGATGATGGTGGTGGTGATAACGATGGTGATGGTGGTGATGATGATGATGGTGATGATAATGCTGATGCTGCTGATGATGCTGATGATGATGCTGCTGCTGATGATTATGCTGATGATGATTATGCCAGTGCTGGTGTGGTTGTGATGTTGGTGCTGATGATGATGAACATGCCGATTATGAGGATCATCATTGTGGTGGTGGTGCTGTCGTTGATGGTGATGACGAGGATGAGGATGGTAATGGTGGCAATGATGATGATGATGATGATGATGATCTCGCAGATTGCGGACGCCGCGGGGTGCACATGCGCCGCATCGCCGACGGGAGCTTGCGGCCGTGTTCTCGGCGCCGCTTGCGCCAGCCAGCCGCTCCTCAGCGCTTGCCCCTGTAGGAATCCTCAGGCGACCTGGGCGGGAGCGATCCTCACCACTCCAGGGCCGTGCCGCCAAACCCAACACGTAGGACCGCGTCGGCCAAGTTGGGGGTTTGGGCGGAAAGGACCCTTGGCCCACCACTCCGCGCGTGGGTGCCCACTCGACGGCGGAGCCATGCAACTCGTCTGTTCTGATGGTTCCGAGGGTAGTTCGTATGTCGTATGACAAAGATGAGTCTTTCCTGTGATACGGGAGAAGCCTTCATTTCGTCGATCCGTAGTTCCACCAGTCCTCTGGGTGCAGATGGTATAAGGAGCTCCTTTGCTATTTCTCCCGACACCCATCCTTCCCCCATTCGGGGAGGGGCTACTCATTCTTCCTGAGTGATATACACCCCTCCCCCCGCCATCCCTGTCAAAACACACTGCAAAGTGCACATCGCGGCGACATCCGGACCGTGCGCCTCGTGAGTACCTTGCATTTTCGTTTTGACATGGACGGTGGGGGTGCCATCATATTGTCCGCTGCGTGTAGGCCTACCATCCTTGGCACATCACTTTAACATTCACTTTGCGTCAAGACTTTGACCGTGCGCGGGCGCTGTCCTCAAAATGTGCGCTCTGCGCAGACCCATTATCCCTGTCAACACACTGCGAAGTAAATAGTGTGGCGTTAGCATGGTTCATGCGCGGGGGCCCCGCGATCATTGTGCACCGGTCTTTGACTGGAGGTGCGGTGGGGAGCTCATATTGACTGCTCTGTGCAGGCTCACGGTCCCTGACAAAAATTAGCCTGGCGAATGACCCAACCATATGCAGCTGCGAGTAATGCAGGGTGCGACCTTTTCCTCACGGGTAGCGCGCCGCGACAAGGATGGCGCGCGGGGCGGTGTAAATGGCGGCCACGAAACGCGTGAGGGTTGCGCCAATGTGGGGGGGAAACTGCATGCGGGCGCTGCCACTGGGGCATTCGGCGGAGCCCCCGATGGGACCTCGAAACGTGCGAGTGCGCTCCCTATGGGGCCACGAAACGTGTGAGGGGTGCGCCAAGATCGGGGTGGAACTGCATGCGGGAACTGCATGCGAACCCTGCCACTGGCGCCTTCGATGGAGCTCCCTATGGTGCAACAATACTCGTGAGGGGTGCGCCGAAATGGGGCGGGGCCGCCAGGAGAACCCTGCGACTGGGGCCTTCGGTGGAGCTCCCTGTGGTGCCACGACCCGCGTGAGGGGTGTGCCGAAATGTGGCGAGACCGCCATGCGAACCCTGCCACTGGCGCACTCGGTGGAGCTTCCCACGGGGCCACGAGCCGTGTGAGGGATGTGCCGAAGTGGGCCGCGGGCCGCCATGCGAACCCTGCCACTGGCGCCTTCGGTGGAGCTCCCTGTGGGGCCACTTGGGGCATTAGCTCGAGCTCCTTATGGGGCCACGAAACGTGTGAGGGGTGTGCCGAAATGGGGCGGGGCCGCCATGCGAACTTTCCACTGGGGCCTTAGGTGGAGCTCCCTATGGGGCCACGAGCCATGTGAGGGGTGCGCCGAACTGGGGCGGGCCCGCCATGCGAATTTTCCCACTGTGGCCTTAGGTGGAGCTCCCTATGGGGCCACGAGCCGTGTGAGGGCTGTGCCGAAATCGGGCGGGGCCGCCATGCGATTTTCCCACTGGGGCCTTAGGTGGAGCTCCCTATGGAGCCACGAAGCGTGTGAAGGTGTGTGCCGAAATGGGGCGGGGCCGCCATGCGAACTTTCCCATTGCGGCCTTAGATGGAGCTTCCCATGGGCCACGAAGCGTGTGAGGGCTGTGCCGAAATGGGGCGGGGCCGTCAGGCGAACTTTCCCATTGGGGCCATAGGTGGAGCTCCCTATGGGGCCACGAGCCATGTGAGGGGTGGGCCGAACTGGGGCGGGGCCGCCATGCGAACTTTCCCGTTGGCGCCTTCGGTGGAGCTCTCTATGGGGCCACTCGGGGCATTAGCTCGATCTCCTTATGGGGCCACGAAACGTGTGAGGTGTGTGCCGAAATGGGGCGGGGCCGCCATGCGAACTTTCCCTCTGGGGCCGTAGGTGGAGTTCCCTATGGGGTCACGAAGCGTGTGAGGGGTGTGGGGCGGGGCCGCCAGCCGAACTTTCCCGTTGGCGCCTTCGGTGGAGCTCTATGGGGCCACTTGGGGCATTAGCTTGAGCTCCTTATGGGGCCACGACACGTGTGAGGTGTGTGCCGAAATGGGGCGGGGCCGCCATGCGAACTTTCACTCTGGGGCCTTAGGTGGAGCTCCCTATGAGGCCACGAGCCGTGTGAGGGGTGTGCCGAAATGAGGCGGGGCCGCCATGCGAACTTTCCCATTGGGGCTTTAGGTGGAGCTCCCTATGAGGCCACGAGCCGTGTGAGGGCTGTGCCGAAATCGGGCGGGGCCGCCATGCGATTTTCCCATTGTGGCCTTAGGTGGAGCTCCCTATGGGGCCACGAGCCGTGCGAGGGGTGTGCCGAACTGGGGCGGGGCCGCCATGCGAACTTTCCCTCTGGAGCCTTAGGTGGAGCTCCCTATGGGGCCACGAAGCGTATGAGGGCTGTGCCGAACTAGGACGGGGCAGTCAGGCGAATTTTCCCATTGGGGCCTTAGGTGGAGCTTCCTGTGGGGCCACGAAACGTATGAGGGGTGTGCCGAAATGGGGCGGGGCCGCCATGCGAACTTTCCCTCTGGGGCCTTAGGTGGAGCTCCCTATGCGGCCACGAGCCGTGTGAGGGCTGTGCCGAAATGGGGCGGGGCCGCCAGCCGAACTTTCCCAATGGGGCCTTAGGTGGAGCTCCCTATGGGGCCACGAGCCGTGTGAGGGGTGTGCCGAAATGGGGCGGGGCCGTCATGCGAACTTTCACTCTGGGGCCTTATGTGGAGCTCCCTGTGGGGCCACGAAACGTGTGAGGGCTGTGCCGAAATGCGGCGGGGCCGCCATGCGAACTTTCCCACTGGGGCCTTAGATGGAGCTCCCCATGCGGCCACGACGCGTGTGATGGCTGTGCCGAAACGGGGCGGGGCCGTCATGCGAACTTTCCCATTCGGGCCTTGGGTGCAGCTCCCTATGGGGCCACGAGCCTTGTGAGGGGTGCGCCGAAATGAGGCGGCGCCGTCATGCGAACTTTCCCGTTGGCGCCTTCGGTGGAACTCTCTATGAGGCCACTCGGGGCATTAGCTCGAGCTCCTTATGGGGTCACGAAGCGTGTGAGGTGTGTGCCGAAATAGGGCGGGGCCGCCATGCGAACTTTCCCTCTGGGGCCTTAGGTTGAGCTCATTATGGGGCCACGAAGCGTGTGAGTGGGGTGCCGAAATGAGGCGGGGCCGCCATGCGAGCTTTCCCTCTGGGGCCTTATATGGAGCTCCCTATGTGGCCACTTGGGGCATTAGCTCGAGCTCCTTATGGGGCCACGAAACGTGTGAGGTTTGTGTGTGTGTGTGTGCCGAAATGGGGCGGGGCCGCCATGCGAACTTTCCCTCTGGGGCCTTATGTGGAGCTCCCTATGAGGCCACGAGCCGTGCGAGGGCTGTGCCGAAATACGGCGGGGCCGCCATGCATTTTTTTCCCACTGGGGCCTTAGGTGGAGCTCCCTATGGGGCCACGGAGCGTGTGAGGGGTGTGGCGAAATGGGGCGGGGGCGCCATGCGAATTTTCCCTCTGGGGCCTTAGGTGGAGCTCCCCATGCGGCCACGAAGCGTATGAGGGCTGTG